GCGATCAAAATTAAAAATTAATGCGAAAAATGGATTCTCTGACCCAAAAAACCCCCGTATACACATTTTCAATAATATTTTTTGTCTTTGAAATGCATCTAAGAGGTCGTTTATTTGGTATTTTTGAAAATATCTACCAAAAAATTTTGGCAGGCTCGAAAATGATTTTAGAGGTATGGTTCCTTGGGCGAAAATGTTTGTTATGGTCCATAGTACCAGAATCGCAAGGATATGAATCAACTTTTTTAATTGACCCACCCTAGTGTATATGTATGTACCTATGAAGATTTCATGGAGAACCAAAGAAACAGTTGTAACCAATTACATGATTTAGGATTTAATCATTTTTTATTCCTCATCAAACTCATAGATAACTTCTTGTGCCGCTAACAATTGGATCTTTTAAAAAAAAAATTTTAACTTATTTTCCCTTATTGTAGACAGTCGCCGTGCCAGTCCAGCGGTGGCCTGGCTCACTGGACTGGCATGCTACTGGTTTAATGTAAACGAAGCATATCTTTTTAATATAAATATTAATGTATTTCCGTATTTCCTTTTCAGCATAAAAAAATCGATCTATCGAAAATAAAACAAAACTGCTTCAACTGACATTTTTTCGTGCAAGAATTGTATCAGTTCAGATCATTAAATTTTAGTTTTGATAAAGTCGTAAGCAAAACGATTTTAAAAACACGTCGTGCACAATCCCTTGTGGATACGCTCCAGGGGGACATCTAAGTTGCAGCTAACAGATGAACCCCATATGTCAATTGCTGCAGCCGAAAATGCAGGGTGAGTAAAGCATTTTATATCAGCTAAATACTATGTAGTTTGCATGGAAGTTTAGTTCACCTGAAAGTCAAATAGGTATAGGAGAGAATGAGACATGATGAGAACCCATCAAAAATAGCGTTGTTTATAAAGGAACTCCGATGTACATATGTATATAAAATTTTCAAATGTGGAACTGAAAAAGCATATGCATATGGAATACTAAAAATCAACAGCCAATTTTTGTTCGGTTGACATGGAATTTTCCACATATGTGTGTATGTATGTATCGAGGGCTTATATTCAACACAACCTATCTGCAATTTTTACAAAAACTACTTTCTGATATTAGAATCCATCTGAGACTTAACTGTCATCACTGAGGTTAATTCGAACTATGCAATTTAATAACAAATTATTCTAACTAGCGCTGCTCGAGGTCAGCATCAACATCATCGATGACAGTTAAGCCCAGATGGATTTTTGTACAGGGTGAGCCAAATAATACCTACCAATTTCACGCAGCAGGTCCATTGTTTGCCTAGCAGTGTGCGCAGTCGCTCCATCTTGTTGGAACCACAAATTGGGATGCTGCTCTGCCGTTGGCCGCAAAAAGTTGTCAATCATTGTTCTGTAAGAAGTCCCAGAAATCGAAGAAATATGGGGTGATAACTTTTTCGGCCATAACGTCGCACCAAACAGTGCATCTGGATGGGTTTAACTAGTGCAGGTGTGTTGCCCTTGGATTTTCAGGGCCCCAAAATCTACAGTTTTGCTTATTGATGCGCTTCATCCTACATCAAAACATTACCTAACAAATCAATTTGTGTGCTAGTTGTGTAAAACGAATAGCGTATTGTAGTCGCGGTTGGTGGTCTTGCTATAAGTATCCATTATGATTTTCCAAGAGATTAACTATAACATGCAGAAAGAAAATAACAATAATATTAAAAAATGAAGAAGTTATACGTGTTTAACATTGGTAGGTCGTAGATGTCCCACCCTGTATAAGAATATCATTTTTCTGGACGTTGATTTTCAGTAAAAATTTTGTTACTTCACTACTGTCATTACTCAAAAAAAAAAGAAATTATTAACTAATGATTACTCTTTCCACGTATGTACATTAAAGTGGTCGAAAAAAAATATCCCGAGATATGGTTTGGTGCACCTTTCAAAATTTTTCTTCTTGCTAAAAGAGCTGCCTGCACCACACTACGTTTCTAAATGAAATGTTTATATCTTACATTACATTACAAGCTTCAGTAGCCGGCTTTTAGCTTCAGGCGCTAAACGGTTAAGTAGTATATCAAGCAAATTCATGGGCCTTCAACAAGTATTGCTAAGGGTACGTTCACACAGAAAGCGGAGTCGAGCCGATCGTAGCCGTTCCGAACTGAGTGAAGATTTCAATCTTTTTCATTAGTGTTTTGGAGCTGAGAGCAGAACAGTTTTTGATTTTGAATTTTCTATTTAATTTTTCAGCTTCATGACCCTGCTGTAAACAAAATAGCAAAATATTCAAATAAAAACGAATTTAACAACTAATGTTTTGAATAAAATTGAGCAAATATTTTTGCCGCTTTTCATTGACGGTAAGTTTTGTGGTACCTTTGCAGCTTAGTCCATAAGAAAAACTCCGCTTCGCTTCGTTCAGTGTGAACACCAGCAGCTTCGCTTTGTTCCGCCTTGCTTCGTTCGGCGTCGCTTGACTTTCTGTGCGCCCTAAAAGTCTTATAAGCAACCTTGAACTAATTTTAGATTCCCTCAGCGAAAGCAAAGGCTCGGATGTAGAATCTGGAGACATTCAATGTAAAATTAAAGCTTAATTGAAGGCCTGCCTTAAAGAAAAAGGAGCCCATCTCTGAAAATCCTCTCGATTGGTGGAAAACTAAACTAAAATACGACAAATTGACAGATCTGGCCCGCAAATACATATTTGAGCGCTACCCGGCAGCGTTCCAAATGAGAAATTGTTCAATGCAGCCGGCCTTATATACGAGCCTCTAAGAAATCGCTTCATGGGTAGGGCTGCCAGACGTCCCGGTTTTCCCGGACATGTCCCGGTTTTAGACTATTTGTCCCGGTGTCCCGGTCCAACCTTAAAATGTCCCGGGTTTCGTTTAAGTGTCCCGGTTTTCGATTTGATTGCACAAATTTTGCATAAAAATGACTACACTGAGAGATAAAATGCGTTGTAATATTAAGAAAAATTTTATGAATTTACTGGGGGAAATAACTCGTAGTAAACATGATTTTTTTTTATTTGATTATCATTTTAAAATTTTCGTATTTAAAAACAATACTTTCATACCACGCACACGTGGTGTTGAATCAAACTGAACATTTGAATGCACATTTACATGCCTGGCTGTAGCTGAGTGCACGAAGATGCTTGCCACAATTTGCTAATTTCCTGAGCGTCAGGGTTCAAATCCCATTACAGGCAGCATGGAATATAAATATTTTTTAACTTAATTATAAAAAAGCATCCGTTAAGTGCAAAGCACTTCATTTTAATATTGGCGTATTTCAATTGAATAATTCTATACTAAATACTAAAATTTGTATACTTAAATTTATTACGAGTTGGGTTGGTGCTCTTTCATATGCGATTTGTATACCTTTCTGAGCATGAAATGGTATTATAACTTTGGTCCGATGTTTGTAAGTACCAGAATAAGAAAAGACAGATACATTAGAATGTATTCTTAAATGATCAGAGCGGCGAGCTGAGTCGATTTAGCCATGTCTGTCCGTCTGTCCGTCTGTCTGTCTGTCCGTCTGTTTGTATGCAATCTAGTCTCTCAGTTTTCGAGATATCCGGATCAAATTTGGTAGGTGGGTGTATTTTTATAATGTATTAATCATTTGTCGGAACCGGAAGAATCGGACCACTATAACATATAGCTCCCATACAACTGCTTGTTCATATGTGAGATTTTTCGTTATAACTTCTCCATTTATGCAGCTAGGAACATACAATTTTGCAATACTTCCACCCATTATCAACATAAAATTTAGTGTGAAAACTACAAAGATCGGGTGACTATAACCTATAGCTCTCATACAACTGATTGTTCAGATATAAGATTTTTCGTTATAACTCCTCCATTTCAAGAAAAGAATACTTTCAGTGAAAATGGCGAAGATCAGGTCGCTACAATCTATATCCACCATACAACTGATTGTTCAGATATGAGATGTTTTGCCATAACTTCTTCATTTATGCAGCTAGGAACATCAAAATTCGCACCGTTTTCACTCATTATTAACAGAGTACTTACAGTGAAAATAACAAAGATCGGGTCACTTTTACATATAGCTCCCATACAACCGATTGTTCAGATACGCGATTATTTTATTATAACTACTCCATTTATGCAGCTAGAAACATGAAATTTCGCACTATTATCAACAGAAAGTTTACAGTAAAATTAACAAAGATCGGGTCACTATAACCTGTTTATTGCCCCATACAACTGATTGTTCAGATATGGGGTTTAAGGTAAAACTCCTTTAGTTGGACAGCTAAAACCGATACATTTCGTAAGCTATTTTTTAAATAACAATACAAAGTCTGCTGAGAAAATCGTCAAAATCTATGCTGCATAATCTTAATCTCTTGTACCACTGATTGTTCAGGTACCAGTTTTTGCGATATATGTATCTCCTTTATGTAGGAAGCTAAACCCATTAAATTGTGTTACCGGTTTACGTACCGATCACACAGCAGTGAAAATCACTTAGACTGGTGTTTTATAAGGTATATCTTCCATACCTCTGATTGTGTAGATATGATTTTTTATATATGTATCTGCTCTATCTATGCCTGCTGTGATTATATAAATTTATTCAAATGCAGTAATCTGTTAAAGTGAAATTTTCAGATGCTCATGAAAGGGCATAGCCGAAGACAGCGCTGCTCTTACTTGTTTTGTTTTTTTTTTTAATTTACCACGTTTTGCCCAAGCAATAGTAAATGATTAATATAAGTATGTACCTAAATACGTTAAAATGACATGCACAGAGTTTTACAATTATATTAAGCAAAAGCCAGAAGTTTTGAAACAAGTTCACAGCAACGAAACAAATGACTGATATTGTAATGTTACCTTGTATTTAATTTTTTTTCTTTCGTGAGACCTAGATTACTTATAAGTACCGTGCCGTACAAAATTATCGGCTCGGAGACTCTTTCATCTGATCACAATTTCTAATCAGATCTTTTAGAAAATTTTGGAAATGTAGCTTTTGAGCCAATTAGTAAAGTCCATGTCGCAAGTTACCAGAAAATTTCGTTGATTTTTTGCAATTATTTATTTTTTTGCTGACAGTGTCTTCCACATACAAAAAAGTTTCGAACATAGTTTGTATGGAAGAAACTATCAGTAAAAACAATACCAAAAATCAACTAAATTTTTATGGGCTGCGAAACTTCATTTTCAAAATTTGTATAAAAAGTGTGAATAGAAAGCTGCGAATTTGTATGCAAATTTATTGCGTTTTCCCGAGTTTTGCACAAAGTTTAGAAATTTTATTTTTATGTTTTCTGATGTATTTAGTATAAACTGTATTTTTATAAGGAACAAAACGGTACATGCATTGTGAAAAGTTCTCTGTGCTTTAGTTGTGATAAATTGTTTTGTTTTGCTGGTGTACGTTGTAATGATCTCATGATCTCATGTTTTTATGTTTTTGTTTTTGTTTGTCAAAATAAAATTTTACTACATCCTTTCGTACGTAATTTTTATCGAAACGAAAGGGAAGGGAGCGAGAGGCCTCTGTATAGGTTAAGCACTCGTTCAATGTTCGAATAACAGTGGATCACAAATTTTTAGTTTGGTGTTTGTTCTCCAGACGCCACTATCCAATTTCTATGTAGAATTTCCTCGGTGATTCCCAAAATCGAGTTAATTTTTTTTCTATGGATAAGTACGTTTTCGCGATATTTGCAATTTACCGTTATACAGCTTAAAATAAAAAGTAGTTCCACTTAATCACGTATATCTTACGAACCA